AATATTACAAATATATTTATAGATTCTACCAAATACTTCCAAATATGTATATACCCTTCATCACATGTTGTTGCTTACTCATCTCTTTGGGGCTAAAGTAAAGAATTCTCTGTAGCTCTGCGAACTCTGGTCANATGACATGGTTTTTTTTGAGCAGTATGCACCCCTTAATTGCAGAACTGTTTTAAAATGATAATGGATGTATACAAATACAAATAAATAGATCATAATCCAAAACATTCAACATTTTCAATGTCTACTTTATGCTCATAATCATGGTTTACAGATTCTACGAAATACTTCCAAATATATACATACCCTTCATCACATGTCATCACTTAGTCATCTCTTTGAGCTGAAATAAAGATTTCTCCACAGCTCTGCCAACTCTGGTCCAAACGACATGGTTTTTCTTGCAGTATGGAGTCCTTATTTGTAGAATTATTCTAAAGTGACAATAAATGAAGACAAATACAAATGAATAATTTGAAAAACGAAATGTTCCACACTGTTGATTAGGCTCATGACCAACTGTTTCTTTCAAACTCTGCAGGCTACATTCAGAAATGGCTGGGCCGAACAGATTGAGTCTTGTCGAGGTCACATTTTGTGACACGGGACTTAGTGAAATTGCATCAAATTGGTATGTCTGCTCTGTATTGACCGTCATCTGCCTTCGACCTCATCACTCCCGTCCCTCGTCGTCTGTCCAGCCTGCATCCCCTTCACCCTCGTCACTATCCAACTCATCTGTGTCAACAAATTCTTCATCTTCAACCACAATCTTGTCTACTTATATCTCCTCTGCCACCCTGCTCTCAACGTCCTCAAGAACTTTGTCAATTTCGCTTGTTTCGTCTGTGGCTGGCCCTTCCTCAAATTCTTCCTCATCGCCTTCAGCTGCTGGAATTGAAGGAATTGCAGGTGGGAGTGGAGGCTGTGTTGGGAGTGCTGTGGCCTGTTCAGGGTGTCATTCGAGAGCAGCAAGCGATACTGGTTTCATCTTCCGTCATGTTTGAAGCCTTTTGAAGGCTGCGTTATACTTGTTTCCATTATTCTACCCTTATCTGTATCCTCCACCGCCACCACCACCAGCACCACCAAGTACCTAATTATTTGTGTCAAAGGGCTTCCGTTTTTTTGTTTGTTTTCCAAATCTATGACATTCACGTTACTTTTACTGGTGGTGCACAATCCTTGGTATGTGACACGACCAGTAACATGCTGTGACAGAGCATCACAGGCCCAATTTCTTGAGACATTGAGTTTGTACTTTCCACATCACCAATTCAATAGATGTTTTACAATGAATACAATGATATTAAGTGAATGAATCCACTGGGAGAGTTTTATATGAAATTATTGTATTTATTATTCCAAAAATGCGAAATCAGCCTGTTCTCCCTGCCAAATGTGGCAGTCTGGAGAGATTGGACTATAAATTTTCAACCACAGCATGTATGAACACGATT